CGTCCTCGCGGCGCTTGCTCGGCATTCGTTCACACGGGCATGCATCGTGCATATGTCTTTGGCGCGGCGTTTGGAATTTAAAAATTTAATAGTCAAGATTTAACGTGTGTGTAGTTTGGCACTGAGTTTAACGCATGTAGTTTTCCTCGTATTTGATTGGCGCTGCCCGGTGATCGAAAAATTCCGCCAATCAGAGCGTTTCTACAGTCGCTGGCAGATTTTCGCTCATTTGCTTAAGTTGCCGCCACACGACGAAGAGAGGCCATGAAGCACAACTTTGACCTGGGCGACACCGTCGAGGACGTGTCGGCGCCGAAGAAGACTGCGGGTTCTAAAGGAAACAAATCGCCCTCGCCTTCTGCCAAGGGAACCCCCAAAAAGGACGACCACAAGGTGTTGAAGTCGACCAAGGTCAAGAAGGCCTCTGCCAAAGAGACCTCGTCCCGCGTGAAGCGAGCTCGAGTCCCGACCAACTTCTACCTGGTGCAGTCGTCTTTTGATACATCCAACGAACGACACCGCCGAGAGCCCATCAACTTGGCCTCGGATGACGACGAAGACGACGACATCGAGGCAGACCTCCCTCAAGCTGCTGCCAAGAACAAGGGGTCGAGACGTCAAGCCAAGAAAGGCCATGACGACGAGGAAAGTGACGACAGTGAAAACGAAGAAGAAGACGATGAGGACGAGGATGAACCGGTGCCCAAGCGGCAACGAGTATCTCGATCCAACTCAGGCAAAGCACTTGCACCTCCAGCCAAGACAGCCAAGAACGATTCCAAAAAGGGCACGAAGAAGCAAGACACGTCCGCTAAGAAGTCAGCAACCCCTGCCAAGAAATCAGCCACGATCGTCTCTGTGGCCACCCAGAAACCCAACGACCCCAAGACAGTCACTTCAAAGCCTGCGAAGAAAGACGCAACGGACGTATTGCCTTCAAAGCCTCACGTAAATAGCAGGCCTGCAACTTCTACCACTTCGTCTGCTGGGCACAACATCGCCACCGGTACATTCAATGGCTTTATGATCCTGATTGGGTTTCGTTCCTATATCGTGCGCTTCCTGTAGGCTTGTTGGAGACTGCCCTGAATTCAAACACGAAGCAAAACAAAATTTTGGCCGCTGAAGTCAAGGCATTCACGAATGCCATCAATAGCGCGACGATGTTGATCTCGACTCTCTGGGAGCAGTACCAAGAAATTCAGCAAAAGGACATGGACCTGCGGGAAGCGGCGCTCAAGGTGGCCCAAGCTCAAATGGGAGTGCACGAGGCGGACAAAGTCACGGAGGATGACGTGGCGCAGGAACAGCAAGATGATGTCGCCGAGGAGAAGGCTGCAGTCGCAGCCGTTGCAGTGGCAATGGCTGTTGATGACGAAAACGAATCGGCGAAGCCCAACCCTGTTCTCCTTTAGGGTTTATATGGTTCAAGAACGTGTGAGCAAGGCCTCGCCAGGGTGTTGTGCTTCTGCTGTTATGCGCACAATCGAATATTTCATTTGCGTCCATCTCCCAGTCAAAATACTTCACCAAAAAGACTGCTTACCTTTATGCTACGGTTGACGCTTGGCTCGGGGGTGATTGAGGCTTTGTAGTTGGGTTGTGCACGTCATCTTGGTGTTGGCATGGCTTACAATGGGGCAGCCATCCCCCATTATGACACATACAACGCCAGTCCAGTGAGCAAGTATTACATGGGGCTTGGAAAATCGGAAACCGACGGACCAAACTCCTGATGACCCGACATGGAAGCAACCCTCGACACACCTCCACCACGCATGTATAAGGACGTCGTTGACATGAACTGGGTGGGTCGCCGAAATTTATCAACAAGGTCTTTGCCGACCTGGGAATCCTATCATGGCGGTGTGCGCCGTGGTGCTGCCGCTGAAACTTCGTGGTCAGATCGCTCACCACCTTCACTACTCTGGCGTACTGTGCTCCTCGATCTTTGCCCTCCCCATCAACTGATGGAACGATAAAGCAAACAAAAACCCAGAGGTCGAGGAAATATAAATTCTCATAAGGAAAATGACGTTTCGCACTCAGTCGTGTAATCAAGCGCAATTGAACGGCCAGAGCGTTTGAGCAGTAATACCTTCTCGGCCTTTTGGCTAAGATCAAGTGTAGCATTGGAGCAGTGTCTGAAGCTCTCGAGGAATTATTCCGGTATCGTACCAGCCTCTTCTGATGGCTGTTGGAGTCTCACATTGCGATACGTAGAGAGACTATTTTATAGCTTTAATCACGGCGACAGCGTACAAGTGTTTCTCGTCGCGGTGGCCAGTCTTTTCGTCCACGGTATC